AAAATAGATCATAACTAAATTTATGCTATTTTTAAGCTAAAATTGTTACACGAACTCTACAGCTTAAGGGATAGGTGTAGATAACAACTTTAAGACACAAGTCATTGCTCAAGCCTTGATTAAGTATAAGACTCAGGCTGATTACAATTAGATTTTACAGTGTACATTAAAAGCAACTAATAATCTTTAGCCTAAAGTGTTGTTTATTGATAGTAATATAGCAATGAGTGCTACAGTTCATTTGTCTTATTCACAGATACGTTATATGTTATGTATTTATTATCTTCTTGAAAATATAAAAAAAAAGCAAAAGCCAAGCTCAGAAATAATGCAATGAAACAGTTTGTCAATGAGTTTTATTATATGCAAAATAGCTGTAGCAAAGAGCAATTTGAGTTAAAGTACTATAATATGTTAATAAAATACAAACCATGTTATTCATATCTTGAAAAGCTTTATCATAATCATATACCGTGGGCAAGGTATTCAGTAGCTAAGGTATTTACAGCAGGGATAGAATCCACTCAGCATGTCGAATCTATCATTGAAGTTATCAAAAAGCATGTTGATCGTGGCACTTTATTAAAAGAATTAGTAAATATTATGAAGCAAGAGTTAGAAAAGAAAGCACAATATACTCAGATTACAAATTAATTTATTATAGATTTAATCTATTTGTTGGCCTTGTATCAATTTATAATACAATATTCAAAGAGATTGATTTTGTACTAAAAGTTAAGTTAGCATCTATTCCATTATCTCTTCAAAGGGCTCAAATAAACCAAGCTTTATTATATTAAACAACTCTAGTTTCAATTGACCAGGTTAAAAAATATGATATTGATAATAGTGATATAATTGAATAATTATATAATATACTTCAAATTCGTCTATTGGAACTTATAACTAATATACCTTCTAATGTACTCAAAGAACTTTGAGAAGTATCATATATTGTATCAGCTTTTATATTATATTATGTCACTATTTTTAATGACTCAACATTGCTTTGTACTTGTAAATCAAGAAATGTTATATTGATATCAGTACTGGGTTTTTATTTATTTAAGCAATGCAATATTTCACATATTGCTTTTTCATATACGTTGGTTTAATTCATTTTTATTTGATACCATCAGATGAATTTTATTACAATCTCTCAAGGTGTAAAAAGTATTACAACTATACTTTTATATTATATTAATCAATTAAGAGCTAGCAATGTTTATATATTAACTATTAGGAAACATGTTAATAAGAAAGTTCAATTTAGTTCAATGATATCTGTGGCCAAAACTAGTGTTCAAGTTGCCGTATCTGAGGGGGTTGCCATCAGGGAATAAAATTCAAAGTCAAAATTTGGTACACGTTGCGCACCAAATTTTAGATTCAATGTGCGCAAAGCTTAATATAGTAGAACAAGTCTAACTGTATAGCGCACATTATTTTAAATAATTATTAAAAAAATTGCGTATGCTTTGCGCACAACATTATATTTTTTTTGTGCACAAAAAAATTTTCTGTATGCGGAGCGCACATACACACATCGAATTTTATTCACTGGTTGCCGTATTTGAGAGGGTTACTAAAGAATTAACCAAAGTATTAGTACAATTTATTATAAAATATCATTGTGATACTGGAATAGGTATAAAGAAATATTCTCACTTCCAAGTATGTTTTCTGCTGAAGCCATAGAACAAGAAACTTTCTTATCTCCAAATACATTCTCTGCTAAAATTGTAGAACTTGTCTTCAACTTTTCATTGATACTTCCCACCACTACTTAAATAATATGACAACTTTTAAATGATATTGAGGTGTCTAATTTAGAATATTATAAGCCAAAAGAACGACCATCTAAATGGCTTAAGTTATCTGTTAAAGAATATAATAATTGTCATATCTCATTCTCTAAAACCTGCAGTTACTGTTTGGGTAAAAGCCATAATATTTGTGGGTGTTTAAAATATAAATTTGATCTAGCTAACAAAGAGAATCATTAGTTATAAGAAATAGTATTTGTAATGAGTTTTAGTTAGAGTAAGGGTCATGTATCTATAACTAGTTGGTTAGTTTTAATTAGGGTTAGATGTTTATGATTAGATCAGATTTTATACATAATTAGTTTGATTGTAGTTAGTATTAGATACTAAATTGAATTTTGTTTTTAATTGCTTATTATTAATTATTTTTGAGGTTAACAAAAAATTTCATTTATTTATCATTAAATTTGTTTGCCAAATTTAATTTTTTAGTTCATATCACTATATATTTGGCAAGCAACCTATTTGCATTAATCCCACTTTCAATAATTATTTTATTAGCAATTTTGTTAGTATATAAGGTAAGTATTTTGTTAGTAAAATGATTATCAAAGTGGCCTTTGAGATCTAAATAAGACAAATCAAAAAAATTTTAATTTTTTAACATTTATTACAGGTATAGACATCCAACCTACTGATATTGAATCTAGAATTTATATATATATAACTGTAATGTTTAAAAATTGAGATTTTAATGAGTGCATATTATATATACTAATGAATTTTAAAAATTTAGTATGTTATATAGTGATCAACTCAATTACTTTACTTATTTAATGAATGCGTCACTTAAAAGTATGTAGTAACATATATGCAGTTGTTCAAAATCAACTATGTATACGTAGTAGTTAGTTTTTTAATTGATTAATTGATTCGGTATAAATAAAGGTTTGATTTCAAATATACTGAATATTGTGCTTATACCAATCTATATAATAAATATTAATTGATTAACTATATGAGTTGATTATTCGATTCTATTACTATAATTTGTATTATTCTTATTATGCATATCGTGATTATGTGAAATAATAGTTTGTATTACTAGTGATAATCACTACCGATATTAAATAGCAAAATTCTATTATTAATATACATTATTAACTTAATCTTAATAAATTTTATTAATTAACTCTTCCTAATAATCACTCATATCAAAATTTTCCACTGAACAGAAGCAAAAATTTTGTTAGAGAAGGAGAAGGAACTATATGGTGGTTCTTATAAAAGTTAATCTTTCTTTTTAGAAGACTCTTTTGTATATTTAGTATGCAAACCAAAAGCAGTAAGACCAAGATAATAGGCTAATAAATGCCTTGTATACAAAATTTTGGGGATAGTGATACTCTGACAAAAGTGAAACTATATTGTTGATGAAGTCAAGTATAAGTAACATAATAGAAAGGAAACAACAAATGAGCTTCTTAAATCACTTCTTAAAAAACTTAAAAGTACTTGCAACTATATCATCGGGAGAATTAAATAAGTGCAAATCTGCAAAAACCTGCGAAAATGCAGATTTTTGCAAAATTTTTTGCAAAAAAACTGCAAATTTTCTTATATTTTAAAATTTTGTGCAAAACTGTATTTAATTTCTTTAGCTATAGCTGGTAAGTTTGAAGTTTTGTACAGATTTTCATTTAATATATTATTTAATTTTTTTGCAAATCTGCGTAGAACAGCACTAAAAATTTTTTTTCAATAATACTCTCTATCATATTTTGCTATTTTAAAATTTTTTTAGAAATTTTAGCCAAAAAAGTAAAAAAACTAGTATACTTTTTTAAAAGATTAGTAGTGTTTACTATTTTCAAATTAGGACATGTCTACTGTAATAGGACTTGCTATGAGCTAACTTGGATACTGCTTCTTGATTAAGCAATAATGGACTATAAGGCTAGATATTAAACAATTTTTTTTTCTTTCTTCTTATTATATTGTAACATAGTAATATTTTTCGGGTTTAATGTTTCGTGGTAGTTACGTAGTCATATGATACAGTTAAACCCTCCGCATCATGGCCACTACTAAGATTATTTTTCTTTAGTATATATTTTTCTTTATTTATTTTACTATTTATTTCATTATACATAAATTCATTATATATAAATTGTTACACATATGATTATTACGTATAAATCGTTATGCATAAAATCGTTTTGCATAACAGGGCCAGTAAACAGTTTAAAGATTTATTTAGAATAGTTAGTTATTAATAGAAGAATTATAAAAGAGATGTAAATTGCTCTTTTAAAGAGACATGATCCACGATTATATTTTAAAACTATCTAAATAAAAGTCTCTTCATCTTGAATCTCTTCTAACAAAGACCTAACCCAACCCATAACCGAATATTTCGGTTACAATATATAGTGTTAGAGTAGGATTTTTCTTTCTATACAATCTATATAATTTATATAGCATAGTATAAACAAAAATAGTATCGTCATAGCTGTCTTCTTTGTGACCTTTTTTTTCTTTTCTCTATTTTTTTTGGTTTATTGTTTTTTTTTATTTAGTTTAGATTTTTCACTTTTTTTAGTTTTTCTTTTAATTTTGTAAATTTTCCATTGTTTTTGTAGTAAAGTTCTTCTACCTAAAAGGCTAGGAGAAGAAGATTGAAAAAAAAAAACAATCATAATAAGCTAGTAAATCAGGATAGTGATTCGGGGCAAGTTTTTCTGAAATAGATTAATCCAAACTAGGGAGCTTGAACTCATCTTTGGCAGGTCACATATAGATGCTAAGTTAGTATTTAGTTATACAAAGTAACTAGATGAGTCATATTCTAGTTTTTTTGCTCTTGAGATATAGTATAACTCACTAATTTTAGAATTAGTAAATTTTATTAATAAAGCAAGGCATGTGACATAGTTGTCAAAAAAAAATAAAAAAAATAAATTTTATTAATAATTTTACTTAAAAATTTAAATAAAATTTATTAAAAAAATTTTTTTTAAACTACAGTCATTTCTCTATATAGTTATCTTCCATATAATCACATTATATATATGTAATTATATTTTTATTTAAACCAAACTATAATTTAATTTATAAGAAAAAAACCTCCATATAAGCACAACCCTCTATAAGCACATTTTAAAAAAAAGTTATTATGTGCCCAACTGTGTAATTGTATAGAGAATAACTGTATAGTTAAAAACTAAAAACCTTATATGAAATACTAAAAATAGTAATGATTTTTAACTAACAGTTTATAAATCTTTATAGTTAAAGCAATATTTTTACAATATAATTAATAATAAGCTTTTAAATATAATAAGTTCTAAAATTTTTTATATAATTAAATTATAAAATTGTAAACTTTATTAAAAAATTTTTTAATAAGATTTATGTTAGTAGTATACTACATGTAGTACACTAAAATTTGCAAAAAATAGCAGTTAAAAAAAATTTTATTATTAATATTAAAAAAATTTGCTAAACTATACTTTGGCAATTATTAGATTTTTGTATATAAAAAGTTTTTAGATAAGTAATTTTTTAGATTTTTAATTTATTTTTTTAAATATACTATTGGTAGTACAAAAGCCTAAATCCTATCCATTAATATAAGAAAAATTTTTACAAATTCTAATTAAAAATTCTATAATAAAAAGCTCTTGATATAAAAAAATCTTAATATAAGAAAGGTTTTGACTAAACCTAACAACTTTTTTATATCAAGATTTACTTATATATAATTATTTAAACCCAAACTATTTAAAGAATTTTGTTATTGATTATATAAATAACTTTGATAGTAATACTAGAAACAAAAACTCAAAAAATTCAAAAAAATTAAATTACAATTAATTACAATTTTATTACAGTAGATATCATATTAAAGTATTTCTATTTGTATACTTTTCTAATAGTAATTACTAGAATTTAATAATCACGAAAATTCAATTTAATTTAATAATAATTGTAGTTACATATAAAACTAATTTTTTTTATATAAAATTATTTTATAAAATTTAATCTTATATGCTTTAGAACTTGGAATACAACTTTGTAATATTAAAAGTATAGTTTTCAAAATTTTAATTTAAAAAAAAATTATTTTTTATATTTTAAAATTATATATAATAAAATATATAGAATTAATATATGCCCAAGTGTTGTAAGCCAGTGTTATATTAGAAAGTCGGGGTCCCCTTTAGCGAAATACTTATTTTTGCGAGTAGTACAAACTCAAAAAGGAAATCGCATTTGTAAAATAAACTACAATGTGCAATACCTAAAGACTAAAATGCAAATTTTGTCCTATTTTAAAAAATTTTATATTAAATTTTGATATTTTGTTGATTTCCTGCATTTTGATTGGCTAAAAAAATTTTTTCTATTGGCTAAAATTTTATTAATTAACAAATTTTTAAAAAATTAGCCAATAACCAAGAGCCAAAACATGTGACTTGTCCTAATTTTGTTAATTTTTTGACATATCGTATAAAAACATATAAAAATTAGGATTAATAAATTTGTAATCGCGGTTACTGTAACCGCATCCAATAAAGCCAATCAAAATTTAAGATCAGGTGTAATGTAAAATCAAAACAAAACTAGTTTTTTTTAAGAAATCGTTAATAACTCAAAATTTTAACTATAAAACTATCATTTATGTTCTAACAAAAAAAATTTCTTGCTAAATTTTGATATAAACTATGCCCTTTTCCACTTCAAGCCTCACTCTAACCCTAACCTTAATTGCAAAGTTTTATTTTTATAAAAAATAATTGTTTTGATAATACCTGATCTTAATTACGGTTACAAATCAATTAATCCTAAAAATTAAGTACATTTAAATTGTTATAAATCAAAAATATATAATATTTATTTTTAAAATAAAGCTATTAAGTTGTAGCAAATTAACATAGCTACAATTTAGCGGCTTTCTTTTTATTGTATCTTTTCTATATCATGAGTTATTAGTTTTTAAAATTATTTTAGTCTTTAGATGTCGTGAACTGTAAGAAAGTTTAGTGATTAGGACATTAGGGTTAGCGTTAGGGTTAGTGTTAGGGTTGTGAGCTTTAGTGATAATATGAGTCTTTTATATGTAAAATTTCGTTCCTGTTATTTTTTATTAGTCCAACAAGATCGATTTAAATACTAGTTTTTGAGTATTTTCTCTTTTTCGGTTTTTTTTTGTGTTTTTCTTCGCTTTGCTTACGTGTCGGGCTGATCCGGGATCATCACATTTTATATTCTCCGATTGGCTAATTTCCCTTTTTGGATTTGTATCACTCGCACAAATAAGTACACGCCCTCTTTAGTTCCCAGATGCCGCAGCCATGCAAGCTATAAATGTGCATGATTTGTGTAACAATATAAGTAAAGGTGCAGAAAACTTCGCGTCTTGTAAATAAAAGCAAAACTAATTTAGAGGTTCGCTTGGAAAGCAGAATAAATTAGAAGATGCGTTAGTTAAAAATAGAAAACACCAATAAAGTAGTGAAATAGTAGATAGATACTTCCTGCAAAATTTGTATTTAAGGCCCTTACTTTCGCCTTACTTTCGATAGAACTTTCTTAGCTTAGAATTCTCAATATAGAAATATCATTTTCTTACTTCTTTTGTATTATTTAGTTACTTTATCAGTTAGATAAAGTAACCGTGTCTTTTACTTTATCGGTTAGATAAAGTAACCGTGTCTTCATACACGTTAAATTTTCTTATCTTCTTAATAAAAAATCTTTTGGAACGTTATCATATGACCACGTGACTTGAATGTCCATTGTTAACATTATTGTTGTGAAGCATTAAATACAACTTTATATATCCTCATATATATCTGCGTTGTGTCTTTTTTGAATAAAAGCCTTAGACAAATCATCATTGATAAGTCATAGAATTGACTTAAACCTTTACCATTTATCTCCCATGCCCTGGTAGTAGTTTTGTATACTGCGACACCCTGTCTTTTGAACTATCCAAAGAGGTTAGTTTGGGTGTGACATTTTTGGTGGTGACTGTGAGATAGAATTCTCTAGTCATCTAAATCGTGAGATCGAATTTCCTACAAAACAATTATTGAAAAAAACTGCACGGATTTAGTGCATGAATTTTAGTCTAACAAAGAACACAGAAGTAATAGATTATTTAACTTTATATTTACATAATAAAGTAGACTCCTGCGAACTTTGTTATCCTTTTCCAAAGAAAATTTCCCAAACCTTTTATCAATTTGCGAAGTGGTATATCTCCACTTATTTTGCAAAACAATATACCTCAAAAACTTATAGTTATTTTAAAGATCTAGAGACTGTGATTCAGCAACCTCAGTACTCGCATTGTAGGAATATAGTTTCAAAATTAATTTTTAGTATCACATATACGCAGTTATCAAGAGAATTCGTTGAAATATTTACAGTAATTATCAACGTAGCTGCCCATACCCAATGCTTTAAAACAGATCCATTCGCCCTTATTATCACAAGCCCCAATACAGGAAACATGACCTCCGCCAAAGACATGTTTGATTACCTAAAAGATAATTAGAAAGAAAGTATTTTGATTAGAGTCGATTTCTTTAAGAGAGATAGCTCCCAAGACCCTCTAACCTGGTTGGAAAATTTTGAAAAGGTAGCCGCTGCCAACAACTAGAATGAAAAAAAAATGAGACAGATCATATCAGTTTTTATGAAAGATGCTGCAGATGATTGGTAGCTAACATATTATAATGACAATAAGCCGACCAACAACCTGGCAGTAGACCAGAATAATACAAAGAAAGAATTCAAAAAACACTTTTGTAACTAATGTTGAAAAAACGTTTGGAGACAAGAAATAAATACCTTAAAGCAATCACCAGAAGAATTAGTAGATGCCTACCATAGAGTTAGCCAGGCATCACGAGCACAGGACAGATTTCGCCTACAATGCAAATCCCAACCAACCTTCTGAATCTAAAAGTTATGAAAAACAAATCAAACAGCTAACAAAGCAGATGGAGCAGATGAGCCTCAACTATGCTACCATCGCTTCGGCCTTGTTAGCTCAAGTTGAAAAAAAGGATACATTTAAGTTATCTTCGTTTACTCAAAAGAAAAACATTACTTGTTTTAGGTATGGCGAAGTTGAACACTTCGCAAACAAGTGTATGTCGGAAAAGCCAAAAGAAATGGCCTATCAAATACTTAAGAAACCTAACAATGATAACAATAATAAAAACATTAATTTAATAGACCTAGCAGAGGAGGATGAAGTAGAAGAAGTCTATATTCATGGTCCCTAGCCTTATAGTACTAATAGAAAGGACCAAAAAGAAAAGCAAAAACAGGTTAAGGCTAAAAAAGAGTAAAGCCTACCAATTAAAGCATCTACGGACCAGGTGCAAGACATAGAAGACCCTATGGAGTTTGAAAACACTCCAGTGAAAAAGGTTATGAAAAAGAGACTACTTTCAGAAATCAACAAACTTAAGCTATACAACATTGTAGAGGATTTGTTGTCTATGTCTGCAAGGGCTACATTAGGACAACTATTGCAATATCCTAGCCAGAGATGCAACCTGGCAATAATACTTAGACGGAAAAAGGCCTCAAATATAGAAGCCAACCTAGTGAAGGCAGAAGAAAAGCGAAAGACTATCGCTATGCGATACCATGTTCGTATAAGAAAGAACCCCGTTATAGCTATTCTAGACTCTGGTACCACGGTAAGCATTATTACTAGGAGGCTTATAGACAGAATAGGGTTGGAAATTAATAAACCCTCAAAAACTGTTGTAATAATAGCCAATGGAAACCGGACTAAGGCCCTAGGAATAGTTGGTGAAGTAAAAATAGTCTTATAGAACCTTATTATACCAATAAACCTCCAGGTTATAGATTTACAGGAGAAAACCCTGTTATTAGGTACTGACTAGTTTGATAAGTCATGTGCCAAGCTCGATTTTGACAACAACACCCTAATTGTCAAATACTTAGGTAAACAAGTCACAGTAAATACAACTCATATAAGTGGTGACGGCTATCAGCAAGAGCTAGAAGAATTTACCGATGAAGAAGATTGGATAGATGAACTAGAACAAGATGATAAAGTTTATCAAGCCTTCTATAGTGACCTATCTTCTGAAGAAGAAGAAAACCTGTATTATAATCCATAGACAGATGATAATCTGGCAGTTTATTTGATAGAAACAACAACACAAGAAAAACAAAAAAAGGATACAAGAGCATTTGAGGTGAACCCAAGCCTCAATAATCAACAACTACAGCAAGCAGAAGACTTGTTAATAAAGAATGCGAAGGTTTTCGCAGAAAAGATAAGTAAAAATGGGCAAATAGTTGGTCTAGACCAAACCAATCTAGTGTGCCACGAGATAGAAACTGGGAGTGCTAAACCAATAAAGCAACACCCATACACTGTGGTCCATAACGAACAAGAATTTCTAAAGGATGAAATTCTAGCCATGGAAAAACAAGGTATTATTTTCCAATCAAGAGCCTCTAGACGTCCCTAGTAGTCCTAGTACCTAAGAAAAATGAGAAGAAGAGAATTTGTATTGATTATCATAAGTTAAATACAGTTACTGAGAAGGACATATACTCCTTACCAAATATCAACGAAGTCCTATCAGAATTCGAAAAAGCCAAGTGATTTACCAGCTTGGACTTGGCTAGTGGATACTAGCAGGTGGCTGTTAGAGAAGAAGATAAGAAGAAGACAGCCTTTATTACCAAATTCAGCACTTACACGTTTAACGTAATACTATTTGGCTTATGTAACGCACTCTCGACCTTTCAAAGATTAATGAATGATATACTCGATCTTTATATCAACAAATTTGTCGTCGTTTATCTAGACGACATAGTCATTTATTCCAAAATGTTCCAAGAACATATGAAATACTTGCAACAGGTCTTTACGAAAATTAGGGAGGCCAAGCTAAAATGTAACTTGAAAAAGTGTTCATTTTTCCTAAATAAAATAAAATTTTTAAATCATATAGTTAGTGATCAAGAAATTTATCTGGATAAGGAAAAACTGGATAAAATCAAAAACTTTCCTATACCAGTTAATATTAGACAAATACGATCTTTTCTAGGCCTTGCATCGTATTACTAGAAATTTATCAAAGGTTTTTCAAAAATAGCAAAACCCTTGAATAAATTGCTAAATAGGGATAAACTCTACATATAGACAGAAAAACAGGAAGAGGCTTTTCAAACTCTTAAGAAATGCCTAATTACAGCTCTGATTTTAAAGTATCCCAACTATAGTAAGCTGTTTTACCTTTATACAGATGCATCTACCTCTGGGCTAGAAGCTGTTCTAGCACAACTAGACGAAAATAATAGAGAGTATGTCATTGCTTACGCTAGTAGAAGTGTAAGCAAAATGGAAAAAAATTATTTAATACCCGAATTAGAATGTTTGGCTATAATTTGGGCAGTCGAACATTTTCATCAATATTTGGGTGCTAAACCCTTTTATCTTATCACTGACCACTCGGCCCTGTAGTGGTTAAGAACTTCTGAACTTAAAGGAAAACGTGCTAGGTGGATTATGCAGTTAGAGCTGTACAACTTTACAATTATACACCACCCTGGACGAAAACATAGTAATGCCGATACTCTGTCAAGAATGTACACTTGGAAAAAGGAACAGGAAGTATATATGTTAGATACCCAAGAAAATGATTCTGTGAAAAGTAAGATTACAGTAAAATTTATAGATGACTGTTTTATACCCACCGATGAGGAAAACGAAACCTCTTTACAAGAATCAAAATCACCAGAGTTGAGAAGGCAGATTAGTAGAAAGCTAGTTAAGGAAAGCTAAAGGGAAATAATAAAGAAAACTCTAAGTTATAATCTACCTAAGAGCTTGACAAAATATCTTTGTCCATATAAGAATGTCAAGTTTACTCAAAAAGGAATCTATTATGATTAACAGCATTGCACCTGGTATTACATCAAACATGTTAGTGATCGATTGAGACAAAAGACAAAAAGTAAACACTTGACTAAAGACTGAAAAGGACCCACCGCCTAATGTTGATGTAGTGATAAGTTATACTCACCATTAGATGAGTGTAGCAAGTGTTACAATGACCTAAAGTTGTGGATTACTTTAAAGAAATACCTTATTGATGAAGTCGCCAAATGTTATTGGATGATTTCGGATGATAAAGAACTAGTGGATTACTACTATTAAAACAACTATACGTGGAGCAATGAAGAATTCCTAAGTAATTTTACCTGAAACACTTTCAACCTTATAGATGACACTTCTATTAAATTATAGGAAAGTGACAGCATTAGCGAAAACTTATTGCTGGACTTCACTAATGAAGAAAGAGAAGGAAACACAATACCGTTTCCAACAGAAGACTTGAATAATTTCCCTTGGTGGTTAGAATTATTAGAGAAACTATCCGAACATTATTATAGAGAATTTAATAACTTCTCTAATACTTATCTTTGTAACTCTATTTGGTGGAAAACCGCCAATCCAGTTAAGTACCTTTAGAGATACAACTCAAACCGCAAATATCTATCCACAAAAAATGAAAAACCTTGCAAGTCAGTCACTGCTACCAACAATACAACTTCCTGAAAATTATAGAGTAGAAGTGAAACATACAATAAAATACAAATAAACAATCAATATTATATATATATATATCCCTTAAATTGTAACACAGACAAATTTGCCTGCGAAGATTTTTACTAATTTTTTTAATATTTAAATTTTTTAAT